TAGAAGTAGAAGTAGACAGAAGCAAAGTAGTAGCAGTAGCAGTAGCAGTAGCAGTAGCAATAGCAGTAGTAGTAGTAGTAGTAGTAGTAGTAGCAGTCGTGGTGGTAGTAGTAGTAGTAGTAGCAGTAGTAGTAGTAGTAGTAGTAGTAGTAGTAGTAGTAGTAGTAGTAGGAGTAGTTATAGTGGTAGTAGTAGCGGTAGTGGTAGTGGTAGTGGTGGTAGTGGTGGTGGTAGTAGTAGTAGTAGTAGTAGTAGTTGTAATAATAGCAGCAGCAGAAGCAGTAGCAGTTCCCACCACATGCACGATAGCATGCCCCATATCGTTTCCATCCTGCTTGAAAGTATCTGAACTTCATCTAAAATTTTTGTATGTATGTGCAGGGTTTTGTCACCTGCAGCACGTGCTCGACAACACTGCTACTACACGGTTCTGAGCTACTGACTTTCAACGCAACATCTCTGGCAAGCTTGACGGCAAGCGCAATCTCCAGATTCCAACGCCCAACCCTAGCATGCCCTTGGCCTTCGACGATGGAAGGTGTGTTGTCAAGCTCCGAAACCCTCAACCAGAGTTCTCACAGTGCCATAGATCCGCCAAGCTACACCTCTGCCTCTGCGCTGCCCCCTAAGCCAGAGAGATCCGGAGAGCTGGCGCCCCCAGCATCGAACAAGAGTAGACCTGCAGGGCAAGAGCCTGGCAACTTCCAGCAGGGCCTGGTAGACTTTGCTTCAAGCCTCTCTTCCGCTGCGAGGCGTCCAGCAAGAAGAAGAGGCGGGGGCTGGTGTCATGAGGTTCAGGGTCGACAGCTTGCAGAATTCGCACGCCAGATGTCTGTTTGGGCCACTGAGTTCGGTGCAGTCGCAGGACATGTACCTAAACCCTACACCCTAAACCCCAGCCGAACCTTACTGAGACCTGAGGTTAAGACAGAAGTCCGCTACGACGAGTGGGGTGATCCCATTTGATACGTTCGGGCGCACGGCCCTTGCTGTTGCGAGATCTGGGGATGCTCGTTGCCATTCGAAGCATCATCCATACACCTGAACTAGGATGGAAGCCCACTTCGTGTGACCACGATCTACGTAGTTATCTATGTTTAGTGATGTGTACTGCATATCGATTCGTCTTCTACCGCAGCCATGGGTGCAGGGCTTAGGCTTCCTAGACAAATTCAAGAGTTAGCTGTGTAGCAAAGGCTGAGAAGAACAGTTCTTGCTTGAAATGGGCACGGGTGCCTGCAGGTGGAAGGAACAATGTATGAGCATCACCAGACGAATCGCCATCAGCATGAGTGTAGCTGCAAAAAAGCACAGCATACGAGGCGTGGACGAGACACGAGTGCAAAGAGTAGTCCCGCATGTAGTTTGGCAGGCGCATGGTTGAGAAGAGACACTGGACGTAGCAAAGACGATAGCATAGTATTGTTGTTTTTCAGCCCATGCCAGTCTTCCCAAAAGCCTTTGCCCCCTTAACAAAGGCTCCGTGTAGGAAGGGTCTCTTTCAGAAGGGCTTCGGGAGTGTGAGGTTTTGGGCTGATTGTTTATCATAAGCAGTTGTTATTCTTCTTGTTGGTGGTATTTGGTTTTACTGTTGTTCATGCTGGTCATGTGAGGGTTTATAAACAGGAAGCAGTGGCCGAGTATCGCCGAGTATCATAGCCGCTCGCTTTGGGCGCCGCTTGCCCCCAAGCTCGCTCCACAGCCCGGGGTTTAGGGTTTAGGGTTTGGGGTTTAGGGTTTAGGGTTTAGGGCTCCACAGCCCGCCAGGAAAGGTTTGAAGAATTGTTGGTAGTCGGGTAGCCGATGCAAGAACCACGGTTGATGATATAAATCCTGCATTCCCCATAATAAGGAATGTGCCATAATTCCCATAGTCTAGGGTCCTTAAGGTAATGCAGGGTTTATATCATCAACATTATGATCGGAGCCCGGAGGAATCGTGTGATGGGAACCCCGGGGAATCGTAGCTTTCAGAATTCGATATTGAGAGTGTTTCTACTTCTTCTGTTCCGTGCGGGTGAGCATTGCCTTCTGCTACAGCTTGGATCCTAAAACCCCACACCCGAAACCCAAAACTATCATGAATCCAAAACTGCTGCGCTGTGCAGTGGACATATGAGAAGAGACCCCAAGGCCCAGAGAAATTTTGTCAATGCAGAGGAGTGAAGCATTCCTAGGGACATTACAGTGAGTAGAGCAGCACCCTCCCTCTCCTCTCACATCCTTGTTCTCCTGAAGCAAGTGGGTAGTTCTCTAAATTAGGGTCCCTTGTTAGGTCCCCAGTATAGTACGGCACCCTTATAAAAAGGACCCTAAAAGGGACCCTAATTTAGAAACTTACCCAAGTGATTGAATGCGTATTGGTGCCGGAGCGAGCAAGAACCTCTTCCATACGGCAAGCCGGCACTAAGCACGAGCCTTCATGTGGGAAAGAGACTGTCGCCACCACGGCGGTACGGGCTGACAGGAGAGGTGACGGGTGGTGGTGAAGATCACCCTTGTGAAATATTTGCACGGGCTAAATGGTCGCATGAAAAGCAATAGCAAACGTAGCTTTGTGAGTAATAGTACTGGCATCAGAAGGAGAAGGAGTGGTTGTTTGTATAATTAAGCATAGCTAGCATAACCATCACGTTTTTTCTTAGGGGTGGTCTGAGGTAGTGGTATGGGGAATGGTAGTGGTAGTGGTAGGGGTAGGGGTAGTGATAGTGTTGGTGGGAGTGGTAGCCTAAGTGGTAGTGGTAGTGGAGTGGGAGTGGCCGTGGCAGTGGCAGTGGCAGCAGTGGTAGTAGTAGCGTCGTGGCAGTGCTGGGTGTGGTGGTGATGGTGTCGGTGGTGCTGCTGGTGATGCTGGTGCATGCTCTTGCTGTTGCTGGGTGCTGGTGTTGCTGCTGGCGCTGGGGCTGGGGCTGGGGCTGGTGCTCGAGATGGCGCTGGCGCTGGCTGTTGTTCGAACAACAGTTTCGCATAGAGTGGCGTTCGTGATGAAGCCGTATCTTGATCGCTGTGCATATTGAACACTTGTGAAAGTACTTTCTCAACCAATTCAAACACGCAAAACCAGCAACAATTCCACCACCAGATGATCTATTGGCGTGCTTGCGATGGCGTTGGCAGCAGAAAGCCGTTGGCCCATGCGTGTGACACCGCCAGACGCGATAGCAGTGTTGATAGGGGAATGACCAGCAATCGCAAGACCATGTGCTGTCATGAGTAGGAGCTCAGTCAGGAACACAAGCTTTGACATCGAAGTTTTTGAGCACTGAGCACACTCTCTACGATCACCTCCCCACAGCACGTGCTAGCAAAGGCCGGGTGCCACTAAGGTGCTCCTGCTTCAGCTTCGATGTGCAAAGTACCGCTTAGTTGGTGGGGTCAGTCGTTTATTCGCTTTGCGACCTCGAGATCCGATCTGTTTGACTCCGGTTGCCTTTGCAACAGCCCTAATATAGGGGCCTAAAGAATGACCTATAATGACCTATACGATTTTGGGGGCTCATTACTATAACTATAATATAATGGGCCCCAACACCCTATTCTAATTATGAAGGCCCCTACATTAGACCCGAAATCCATCGCCGAGATTCAGAATGCGATGTGAGACCTCGGGGGCCTGCGCCCTGGACCAGGGACTCGCAAGAAGTTCGTCTAATGTTCCCTGCAGATTCGTCCTATGATATATACCGAAAGCTTATGCTAGAATTACGAAGCACGCCCTATACAGGCAAGTTGGATCGAGAGAGCGCTGCTTGTCCATAGCAGGTGGCGTGCAGCGGATAAGAACCGTGGCTGTTACTACGTGACAGCGTTTCCTTCGTCACTCTACTTCTCAGTTGTCCTGCTGCTTCATTCTAGTTGGCCTTCGTATCTTTTGCACTCTGTCCTGTGGGGTCATTGCCATCGCCATCCTTCGTCTCGTGGCTATGTTGATACGTTTTATCTAATCTTCCCAAGCCCTTACCCCTAGAAGCCCTCAAATCCTGAACCCCTCAAAACCCTCAACCCTGTCTTAATGGCGACGGTTCAGGCTGCACTGTGCCAGGATCGTGTTGGGGCGGGGCAGATCACAAATTTGGATAAACCCCTGTAGGCACTTGCAGGCACGCGCAATCCTTCGGGCTGCGCAAGGATGAGGCTCTTTATCATGAGATTCTATGCCTGCTCCAAGCATGTCTTGATCTGCACCTGGCTTCTGCCGTTCTGCAAAGAATTTCTGAATTTGAGCGGTGGGGAGGTTTTTACTCGGCACAGCTCTGTAAGCCGCAGGAAAGAGAAAACATGTCACGCGGGATCTTGCTGTATTTTGCCCTATGCCAAGAATCGTCAAGAGGTACGGCGCAAGCGTTCTGGCTTGAGTAGTGTTGTGTTTTATAGCTTTTCCATGCACGTACCGGAAGGGAAAGCCTTGCCGCTCCCCAGCCAAGAACGTTGCTGGAAGTCGTTGAAGTCGTGGAAAGAAAACGAGAAAGACTCCACGGTATGTAACTATGTATAGGTATGTATACTGACGTGTCCATCTTTCGACAGAAGGGAAACCGCCCCGTCCAGCTCCGCGAACTCTTCAGCCTTGGCGGCTGGAAGAGACTTCGCCAAATTCCGCTGAGCCAGAGGTGGGTAAGCCGAAGGCGAAAAGCAAAACCAACGCCTACATTCGCTTGGGTTTATGCCGCACGACATCGAGTTGAGTTGCTAGATACGGAGGATTTTCGAGTTAGACCCAAGCAGGCGTAACCCCGTACTCTGTACGCACCATCATCTCTTATCAGGAAAGTCGGGAATTCCTGCGTGCGATTGCCAAGGAGCAGTCGCAAAGTCCCGAGGGGATGCCTCAAACAGCGGCACCAAAGCAGGGCGAGACAAAAGCGAGGAAAAGGATGCATAATATGTAGTGTAGTATAACATAGTATAGTATAGAATAGTACAGTATAATATAGTGCAATGTAGTATAATACAGTAGCCTATAGTATAGTTTCGTATGCTATGGTACAAAATAATATAATATAGTGTAAAACAGGGTGTAAACAGTAGTGTAGTATAGTATAGTTTAGTAGAGTAGAATAATATAGTGTAGCAGTATAACAAGTACATAGTATAACACAGCACAGTGCAGCATGGTATAGCATAGTGCAGTATCGTATAACGTAGTATAATGTAGCATAATGTAGCAGAATGTAGTATAATGTAGTATAATTCAGTAAAGTATAGTAGAACCCGATCGGCCGAGATCCCTCAACCCTCCCCCGCAGGGCCGACGTTCTGGTGCGCTTCGGAGCGGACTCCACCCTCTGAATCTCGAATTGGGCTGGCTCGAGGCAGGGCGAGGGGGGAAGATGAGGCAATTATTAGCAGAAGTATTGGGGAAACCCTAAACCCTAAACCCCTTAACCCCTAAACCCTAAACCCTAAACCATAGACTGACGAAGGAGATGCCAGGGTTCGTCAGGGGGCTTTAGGGCTTGAGGGCTTTAGTGCACAGGAAGGGCTTTAGGGGTTTAGGGTTTAGGGGTTTAGGGTTTAGGGTTTAGGGTTCAGGGTTTAGGGTTTAGGGTTTAGGGTTTAGGGAGTGGTCGGAGTAATATTCCGAACATCCGAAGTCAAGTCGAGCCACTATGATGCTTTGAAGTTCCTCATGCTCCCATGTTATCCCTATGAATAAGAAGCCACAAAACCCTATCCAAATCAGTAAACACTCAGGCCCTTATATCAAGCCTCAAACCCTGACCTTAAAACCTAAGCCCAAAACCTTAAACCTCTCAATGAAAACCCAAAACCCTAAACCCTAAGCCCCCGAAACCCCCTAAGCCCTAAACCCTAAAAACTAAACCTAAACCCTTTTGGTGATACGTGCCATTCTCAGTGCCAACGTGCACATCGTCGTGTACCAGGAACCTCGCCCAGACATGTTCGAGAGTGAGTGCTGAAACCCTAAGGGAAAAAACCCTGTACCCCTAAATGAACCCTGGACC